TCAAAGTTTTAAAACGGCTGGATTTTGAGGCAGACATGGGTGTTGACTGAGGTGTTAGATCAACTTGACCCCAGAGCTAAACCCAAAGTTGTTCACTACAACCATCTGAAGCCATATAGGTCCCCTGTACCCAGGTCATCTGTGACAGATGCTTCACCATGTACTGGGCCCCCCACTCTAACCGCCCTCTCAGGCTCTAGGCCTTGGACATTTGAGTATAGTAGTATGGCAACACCTGACATGGCACATGTTATTCAATCTAGAGGCCAAAGTGAGGGCAATATTCCAGCTGCAGTAGCAGGGCCACCAGACAGTGCAGTTCCAACCCCAGTGAAACAACAAACTAGGTCTGGGCATCCCATTCGTCCTCCAGACAGGTATAGCCCTGACTTCTGAAGGGTTTTTACTTTATTCTTTTTCTTTCTTCACTGTTAAGCTATGACTTTTGGTAACTCTGATGCCCTGTTCAGAACGGTTTTTGAAGTCGCATTGTAATTTTTTTTCCCCTCTTCCTTGTTTCCTATGTTAACAGTTCATTCCTGTAAAAGTATAAGGGTTAGCGCTACATCAAGATCTACTGACGAAATCGATACGAAACTTCTGAAGAAGACCAGTGCAATTTCCTTCTTCACAAAAAGTAAACAAAAACGGAGCGGTGTCGCATTTTAGCGGTTGTAGGATTTCTTCATTGATCTACATTAGTTGTTTAGACATCGCCTGTTAGCTGCTAACGCGAGCGACGCTCCTGCAGGCGCCGTTACTGCGCGGTGAGTCTGTCCACTAAACCAGGCTGTTCCAATGCAGGATGAGCAGGAATCAGAAAATGTTTGTGGTGCCTTTATTTCTTACCCGACTTCTATAAAGATGGCTTAAATTAAAGCTGAGAAAATTGCTGACGTTGGTAAGTATTCTTCCTTGATATGTTTGGTTTCTATCAAGATGCAAGAGGATTAAGAAAATTGCTGTTTTATATTGGTGAATAATTAAATAATTGCTGCTGTTTTATTAGTTTGTCAAAATGTAATAAACCTTGACTGATATACTAGAATATGATTTAAAAGATTCAAGTCTATATCTGGAGAAGGTGGGCTTTCTCCTGTTGAGTATGGTGCATGTAGACTATAAAACGGGGTCCCCCAGTATTATATAGTAGGGTGCCCCAGTCATTGTTGGCTCATGGCTGCTAAAAACTTTACAAGACCGACTGATTTTAGTAACATAGTGACTAAATCAGTGGTTCTTAACCTTTTTTGAGGTACCGAACCCACCAGTTTCATATGCGCATTCACTGAACCCTTCTGTAGTGATAAATAAAATATGATTTTTTTCCCCTCCAAATTCAAGACATAGGGGTGACCCAACTAGAGCCTAGTTGGGTCACCCCAAGATTACCAAGTCTTCTGAAAAGGTAGAGCCTCTGAGAACAGTTCTTCAAAATATAGTCAGTGTTTTCAGCAAAGTTGAGCTGACTGTCCAGGAACGACCCAAATTTGCCACAGTTTCAAAAGGTATTTTTATAAATCTTCAATCTGGAAACTTACTTCCTCTTTTTTCAGGAAGTCTGGTGTTCCTGTTTCATGGCTTGACAACACTTTCTCTGCCTTATTGATTTCTTTTTATTAAATAGAAAAAGAAATAGAATTAAAGCAAAGTTTGCTTGAGACAAAACACACCAACACAACTTGATTGATTTTTATTGAAGTTTGATTTTACTGTTAGGTCTAGATGTTACTTGTGTGATTAATTTTAAAGGTAACGTCATGTATTGTTACATTCAAACTAAAATCTCCAGCATTGGGAAATGGGATGAGCTCGGGATTTCTTGACATCCGCCAGCAGTTGTGCTACTGGTCGCTAACAGCTACTGATCTTAGGCAGGATTTTGTTCACCCAACCAACGTTCTGTCACAACGTTCTGTCTGTCTACAGACACACACTTTTTCAGTGTTTTATTCAAGAACATATTTACATGATTCCATAATTTAATGTACACTTAACATTTCTAGATTTGGAGAAAAACATGTAATTTCCTTTAATTTATTTGATATTTTGTTGTAAAGACAATAAACTTTGACAAATCAGTCATTGTGAAAACATTAGCTACACAGTTTTCTTTTTTTTCTGGAAAAATCTTTATATATATATATATATATATATATATATATATATATACACACAGTATACGTCAACTCTGCTATGGACAGCATAGACAAAGAGTGAAAAAACCTCTAAAACTAAATAATTTTTATTTCATTACATAAGCTGTCTCAATACACTAATACTTCAGATTGAGATATTTCTCTTAAACACATACACAAAAAGTGAGAGAATAAAAGTGTGTAATAAAACACAAATTTATTTATTTATATTATGCTGGGCAGTGGTGGAGAAAGTACTCCAAAAATTTACTTAAGTAAAAGTACAAATACACAGACAAACTACCACATTAACATTTGTACTTAAGTAAAAGTAAAAAAGTACTGGCTTTTAAATACTTAAGCATTAAAAGTAAAAGTACTTGCTGAATGCATTACCTAATCCCTAATACAATATCATTAAGTGAGCCGATCGTATTTAATTTTAATACATCAGTAATGTGCCATTTTAATGAACAATGCCACAGATAAAGCATGTTTTTATTATGTTTACTCTCTGTAACATAGCTTAGACTTAAGTATGTGATTCTATGCATCATAATTTCAGGGATGGAAACATCTTGTCTCCTGTCCTAACATAGAATGAACTTCACTTTTTTTTTTTTTTGCCACTAGTGGCATTTATTTTGAACATTTAACATTAAATACACCCTTCTCAACAGGCGAGGGCGCACTTTCTCTGTCTATAATCACATATTTCAATGACTTGAAACCATTCCTCCCTCCCTGGCACCTCCAGGCCCGGGCCCCCATCCGGCCCGGTTTGGGGGGCAGCAGCCACCCCAGTCCCCCTATAGCTCCATGCCTGCTTGTACTTCGTTACTTCCCACCACTGATGCTGGGAACACTGGCCACAGTTTGCTGGTCAAACTGGGAGAAGTCCAGTGAGTTCTGAGACATTCTGGTACACAGGCTAAAGCCAAGGATAAAAGAGAAATTATCCAAAAGTGTTATAGAAAATGCATATCTGATTCCTTCACATTCAGAAAAAATATATTTTCAGCATGTTGGGTCTCTGACTCGTAGCATCTTTACAGCATAGTGAAGGAAACCCTCCCTAAATGAAGGATTGTGGCTTTACTGATGAACAGTGAGGTTTATTGGAGATAAACCCAGAGTTTCACTGTAAGACCTGTATGTACAAACACAAACTCAAAATTAGTGCAAGCTACAAAAACACACACCTTCAATCATAACGTCTGAACCAAAAAAAATAACGTTCACTGTTATATTTTTGGTGGATAGGCGAAGCTCTTGATCATGTGGTGTTGGTAGTGATTGTAGATCACCTGTTGCTCACCTGGTGACTTTAGTGGTGGGGGAGGTCTACTTTTTGCTGACCGCTTTAAGTTTGAATGATTTTTGTTTTTTGATTGTTTAAACCTCTGGATCTGTTTTTATGCTGCTTTTGGATACAAATGTCTGTTATCCACTGATCTTCTGCCTTGGATTTTTGATAATCTTGATGAAAATAAAACCATCGTTTGGTCAGCTGGCGTGTCAACAATGATTCCCCTATTCTGCTGCTTGGCGACTTTGACAGTCGCCAATATTCACTACTAAAATATCAACTTATTCAAAAACTATACTGTCCTCCAAAACATCAAGCTATACTATTCATATACAATAATACAAATTCACAATTTCAACCAATCAGTAATAGAAATATTCTTATTTACAAAATAAACGCACCTTGTGCCTCTATAAAGGGGGCCATTAATAACTAGATACATTTTAACAATGTTGTTGCAACTTGTCTTCCATTCTTTTCTGTTAACCTGCCGTTCTATAATAAAAAACAGTGGCAGTTATCTTATCAAAATAAAGGCATCAAATCAAAAACTGGAAGTCAATCATACGTTATACAAAAAGGCAATAAGTGCTAAAAGGAAATGCAACAAATAAGGACCTTAATTTGGGGTTATTTACACATAGTTGAATTCCAACATTGTGAAGCTGAGCTATGAAACAGAAGAATGAAGAACAGCAGCTCCAGCTCTGATCCCGACTGACCTTTCCTCACCAAAAGGGTATGGCAGATTGTGGAACACAACCAGTGATTGTTTTTGTTCTTTCTGCAAAATCGAATGCCAATTTATAGCATTTATTTGGTGCACTTGCTCAATTTACCCTACAGCCAGCTGTTTATAAAAATGACATCCAGTATTATCACATCTTTAGGTTACTTGGTTTAATAGGCTGGCAGATTTTCAATATGTTTGGACAGTAAAAAAACATATTTTTTTTGGTAGATAAACATACTTATCACATCACCACATGCAACAAATACAGGGGCAGTAAAATAGAGGGATGTGCTTAAGTTATGGTCTCATAACAATTGTATACAATTGCCTAAATAAAGGGAGTGTATCATCATCCCTGGTTCAACTTGCCCCATTCTCGCCTATAATATTTTACACTTTGTCTATTCAAGTATTACTACCTTTACCTTTATTAGCTATTACCTTTGTTCATTGCACAAAATACAACCAAAAATGTCTGAAAACAATTGGATAATACAAAACTCAAATTACTTTAAAGCCTTAAAAATATTTGACTCCAATCATACCATAGAAGAAGCACAGCAAAAAAGTGCCTAATTGTGAGTTTAAAGCCATGTCTTCAATCAGTTAAAGCAAGATGTGTAGTAAGTACATTTCAATTAACTCACATTTTTTCTGAAAAATGTTGGCAATGACCTGAAAATAACTGCAATATATAGTCAGATTTCACATTTCAGACTGACTGAAATAACTCCAATATTCTAATTTGTAGGGCACACTTTGTAAAAATAACTAAACTTCACAGTTTTTTTTCTCTAAGGTTTTTTTATTTTTCTTTTAGTCCCAGCTACAGCAGCCACGCATCAAAATGCTGAGCTTGATGTTTTGGAGGACAGAGGCATAAATCTGGATAATTTACATGGTATGGCTGTAGTGAAACGTCAAGTCACAGTCAATTTGGGATCGGAGAGAAATGCTTCCCCGTTCTGTCCTATGACTCCAATGACCCCGATGACTCCAATGACCCCGGTGACAGAGAAATCGGGAATCATTCCACAGCTACAGTAAGTTTAGAAATGCCATTGAAATATGTTCTAAGTACTTTGATAGGATTGGGGTTTGTACAGTTGGGGATCATATTTTTAGGGTTTGCTGACCCAGTCTAGATATTTCAATTGTATAGCAGAGACAAATGTAGATTGGGAGGTAAAAATAAGTTTGTTGGGAACATCAGCTAGTGCACATAAGAGGATCAGAAGAAGAAATGTTTTTTTTATATATAATCTAATATATATATAAAATACAGAGTGTAACATAGGCTTTTGGAATTAAAGCAGAGCCAATTGCCTCACATCACAAGGTATCCTTAGGTGTGTTATGGCTAAAAATTTATATCTTTCACGATGTGTTTTTGGCTTATCATAAACTAAAATAATCTGAGTAGAGGACTTTTTCACTTTATTTTCTTATTATTGCTCTTAAGAAAAAAGGAGCAGAATAATGTAAAATTGACTTTTGAGCTTTACATCATACATTTTAATGTGATCTTCCCATCAAAAACATATCTGGAGTATATTGCTTTGGTTCTTTCATGTGTATTTGAGAAATCCTTTAATCTCCTGTGGCAACCATTCCTTTACAAAAACCAAGAGGGACCTGAAAATGACCCCACAGCTGATCCCACTGAATCACAGTCGCTCATATTGTTTATTAGATTATATAATCGCATATAGGATATCAGCTTCAAAGATTAAATCTTTTACAGTTTTTTAAATGTATGGATTAAAAAAATTTGAGTATCCCATTAAAAATATCTTGACATTTTTGGTTGTATAAAGTGTTTAAGCAGTAATTATTTAACTGAATACTTTTCTATTTGCAAGGCACTCCTATCTTTTTTCTTTGCCCAGAAACATTGTCTCCACTGTAAACCTTGGCTGTCCATTGGATCTAAAATTCATTGCACTGCAAGCCAGAAATGCAGAGTACAATCCAAAGGTACACAGTTGATACTCCACAGTTTACTTTCTCATGGTTCAGTCTTTATGTATTTAATTTATTAATTTTTACCCACTTTTACCAGCGCTTTGCAGCTGTAATCATGAGGATCCGCGAGCCTCGAACAACAGCACTGATCTTCAGCTCAGGGAAGATGGTCTGTACAGGAGCCAAAAGGTCAGTCTATTCTATTAATCTGGATTAGGCTGTTGAATTTTTATCTTGGAATTGGATTTAAGTCTGACTTTTTTATGTTCCATTTTAAGAGAATTTAAGAAAATGTTTTTATTCTTTTTAGAATATGACCAATTGAAAAGCTATAAATGTTCCATTTAAGACAGAAGCCCATTAGTGCATTATTTTCTGTTGGCTGAAAATGTGCAGTAATAAGAATAAAAAGATGATGTAGAGACAGGTCATCATTCAAATAACACTGCAGTTAACAGTACACAAATCTCTGGTTACAGTTTTGGTCGTTTTGATACATCTCTAATATTATGGCTTCCTATTTAAAGAAATGTCTTTTAAGAATGGCTTAAGGGAATGTTGTGCCACAATGCTACAGACCTCTGTATATAGGAGGCCACTAGAGTTGATTATTTTTCCTTTTTTTGAAAAACAGCAGCCCTCGCATCTCAGTGCTGCTCCGGTCTTGCGGCGGCTGCCATTCAGACTTGTCAACTAGGCCGTGTATTTGGTGAATCTCCAATAAAGTGAATTGAATATTGATTGTTGAAAGTCTTCCAAGTTACCTCCAGTCCAGTTCGAGTCCAGTGGCAAGTTTTTGTTAGGCCAAAAATGGACCTTCCACAAATGAGTTGTTGTTACTTACTGTTTGGAGAATGATTTGTGATGGCTTCCTCTAAGCTTCTGAACATGTCATGTGTTATTATCAAGAGAATGTAGATAATGTATGATGCGTCTTAATATTATACACAGGGAGATGCTGGAGGAGTTGCCTAATAGCCGTCAGTACTTTTTCTGAGTGGGTGGGGCTTAAGTACCACACCAACATGTGTGTAGAACGATGCATGTGTGATTTACGTTATGCAAACGTCAAGGAGTTGGAATTTGCCATTCTGCTGTGCTCCAACCACTCCAAGGCATCAAATCAAAAATCGGAAGTCAACCATATATTAAGTAAAATGAAATGAAGGCAATAAGTGCAAAAGAGGGGATGCAATAAATAAGGTGCTTAATTTTGGGTTATTTACAACTACATCTCCAGGTTTCAAGTAGTTAATGGAATGGTTCAGCCATGGTAGCACAGCAATGGATGGCATGTAAAAGACTAGTCTTTTTGCCCTCCAGTGTTGTGCACATGCTCAACATGTCCAGATATAAACAATAATCTACATGGGAGCCGTAAAGCAGTTTGGCTTCGCCAACTATTGATTTCATAAAAATCTGGAAATTTCATGTGGGAGACAATTTTTGTCCTCCACATGAAGTTTTAGTTTTTGAATATGCTAAGACCTCCAAATATTTGCATGTAGTGCTGCAACTTTTAGAAAAGGCTTCAAAAGCGGTGTTTAGCTTTAGTCTCTTTTGTGTGTTTGAACAACTGCAGTGAGGAGCAGTCCCGTCTGGCAGCGAGGAAATATGCCCGGGTGGTCCAGAAACTTGGCTTCCCTGCCCGGTTTCTCGACTTTAAGATTCAGAACATGGTGGCCAGCTGCGACGTCTGCTTCCCCATCAGACTTGAAGGACTGGTTCTCACCCACCAACAATTCAGCAGGTACATTTATGAGCTTCCTGTTGTAAACCATCACCAGACTTTTACAGGTTCATTCATACATAATTGGATCTTTTGAAAATATAAACATGTAATCAACAATAGAGACCCTGTAAGAGTCCAGCTAAAATTGCACTATCAGTTGAGCAGACTGATTGCTATTAAAGAAAGGTAGATGTGTTACTATTGTTGAAATAGAAGAGTGGACAGCAGAAAGCTGGTGCCAAGTTTATTTCTCAGACAAATAAACTTGACACCGCTCCCCATACCAAGAGCATGGGGAGATGTACATAGGTCCTGTATGGTACCAAGAGTGAAACTTTCTGATGCAATTGATGTACAAGATTGAATCTTTCCAAAGGCAGTTAGTTTCCCTGAAATTTTGCCCAGGAACACTTCCATGGCTCAGCTATATGAGAACATTGAGAGTAACTTATTTCAACAACTGATAAACAATCAGGTGATCATCCAAGTAAGATGAAGTACTGTGTTACAAGGAATACATGATTCAATGTTTCAATGAGAAGCAAAACACAAAAAAACTACAGTTGGCTTTGGTCTCTTTTGTGTGTTTGAATGACTGCAGTGAGGAGCAGTCCCATCTGGCAGCAAGGAAATAAGCACTAAGAGAATGAATAAAGGCTTACTTACCATGGTTCAGGATTTCTTTCTCAAGTTTATATCCAGCATGCTGGAGAGAATCCCCACTGATAAGAAAAGGCTGAATATGAACTCTGCACATTCTTATCTAGAAGAACACTACAAAAAGACATGTCTAAAGTTGCACATGCTGTTTATGCACAGAGTTGTTGCTGTAGATGGAGAGTGGGAGGGTAATTTGCTTGAAGGATGCTTCAGGAACAAGTGTAGAAATGTTCTGTCTTTAGATGTTTAAATATTCCGTTTTAAAGAACATTCAGCCAAAGCTGTGTGGCGCTCAACATGTACGATCTTTTTAGACAAATATGTTTTCACTGATGCTGGTCTAATACACTTCTGTTCAAGTTGTCCCATTACTGACTAGAAATCTTTGCATAATATGAAATTGTTTCATTTACATGTATTCTATTTAGGAGTATGAAATTGGTTAATAATTGAGTTGTCTGATTCGTCATCCAATGTTTGAAGGTAAAACAAGCAAAAGGGACAAAGACTAAATGTACACCTGTTAACACTTGCTGACTAGCATCAAGCCACTTCTGATATCTAAAAGAACCTAAAAGGTTCATACAAAAAGTAAAACAGGCATATACAGAACCTTTCCAAAAAATTGAATACCATGGAAAAGTTGTTTAATTCCATTCAAAAAATGTAACTTTCATCAGGGCCCACAGTTTAAAAGGATCCATGGCCTAAATGTATTGCAATGTCCCTATTACCTAATAAATGCTGTTTGTGAAACGCCAAAACTCATAATTACTTCAAAAATTTACATCTTCTGTTATATTTTTCACCCATGGAGGTCGCCATCTTTTCACCATTGGATTGATGAAACGTTTTGGTCCATTCTGTACTGGGGTCTACAAAGTAAACACAGGAAGGCTAACTTTTCCCGAGTAGTTGTTTATCATATTGCGTTTGATTGTTATTTTAGATAATGCCACTCTGAGTCACTATTGGCTGTCATTAAAAAAAAAATAAAAAAAAATCAAAATTTAGGCAAATCTGGATAATTTCCCACATGAAAGAGAGCGCAGTGTGAGAGCCGGAGTGGACCACAACAAAGGACCTAATTTGGACCCTAGACATTTCTGAACAACACTTTGTCATTTGTATCAGCAGAACTAACGAAGGCTCTGACAGGTGATCGCTACCTTAACTAGCAAAAAATAAATGCAGTGCTGCCGCTGAAACAGGCAGAGCTGGACAGTCTTTGAGATGCTAACAGGAGCTATACTGCCTGCGGTACTGACATCACCGATCGGACCGGACCCATGGAGGTCCGTTGTCGGTGGTAAAGTCCAGTGTCGCTGTTTCCACCAGACTCTATACAGCACAGCTGATGCTGAACCAGATACAGCGCTATGGATGCTGGGAGAAATGTCAAAGACAAGCAGCGCTAATGGAGCCATTAGTACTGGAAATGCTATTGGAGCTAGAACACCTGTACTGAATGTGAAACCACTACAATACCGAACAAAGTATTGATTCGGCAACAACCGGACACAGCGCTATAGAAGTTCTTAACAGATCACACAGTCCGACCAGAGGTAAGTGTCATTCATTGTTTCATTTACAAAACTGAAGGCAGCAGCAGCAAAACACCAGCAGCTCCTATGGCCAACTCTGTCCTCTTCCTCATCATCACCTCTTATTTCTAGGCTCTGATATATTTCAAAGAGCTCCGGTTCAAATTAAAAAGGCCCAATAACGTTACTCATCACTGTTTTGGCTGGAGGAGCTAGGCAGTTGGACCGTTATAAGTCATTTACCTATAATGCATTGGAGCGTGAACAACATGGCGATATTCCTGTCAAAATATTTTAAAATTTATAAAAATTAAATAACTTACAGTATTATTACTGTATTGTTTTTACATCCAAGATAAATATTTCCAAAATGAGGTCTATTTTTTATAACTAATTGTGGTTCCCTTTAAACCAGGGGTCACCAACCTTTTTGAAACTGAGAGCTACTTCATGGGTACTGAGTCATACAAAGGGCACCAGTTTGACA